ATCCAGGATACTGTCGATACCAATGCAGACTGTTTACACTCCCATCATATTTGCATGAGAGCATGACCGGCTTCTTTTCAGTGACATGAATGTCATTCTGCAGTGGTCTTATTGACTGTGCAAATGTATCTGCATAGAATAGAAAGCTTTCAGTTAGAAATAATAACAAGATAAAACTTTCACAAAATGTAAATCGCATAGCAAATGATGAAATGTTTAATTCATTACTATGATCTGGCATAAAAGCTTGTTAATACAATTACTATTACATCTTTAAACAAAGTTATATGGTACTGTATGTCACTTACATTCTGTTACTGAAAACACAAGCAGGCAGCACAGAAGCATCATCTTTGCACCACAAATAGCGAATGAAAACTGCATACAGATGTGAATTTTTGTGAGATCCTTTAAAAGCTCCACCCATAGCATGTATAAATGAAAACATTCAGAGATATCATTGTCAGTGTGTCAGATTCAGTTTGAATATTGTTTCATTAACTGAAGATGTGACTGCAATTCTGTAACAGAATTCAATGCCAAGCTTTCAATGTTTTAAAAAAAAATTTCCTTCAAAAAACAACAACAAATATATATATATATATATATATAAAAGAGAAAAATATAACACAAATATATAAAATATATTATGTTATATATTATAATGTATTCAAATATTATAACATTTGAATAAAACTGACCAAAATCTTTTAAAATCTTTTTTTAAGCATATTATCACAGTGAAGGTAAACCAATCAGAACGTTTTAAGGACATGTTTATTTTTTAAATTATATTATTGTTATATAGGACATTGAACATTACATGATAAGGACTTCCTATAGTGGTTTTTGTACAGTGTTCTTGTGTTTCCTGACACTGTGGGCTCCAGAGCACAATAGTACAGTGCTGAATCTGTGACTGCAGCAGAAGAGATCTTCAGATGAACCTGCTTCTCTACCTTATTCACACTGGCATTCAGTCTTGGGAAAGGTGGTTCTGCATGTAGTACGCTGTTTGATTCATAAACAAGAAGCAGAAATTCAGGTCTGGATCCAGGATATTGTCGATACCACTGTAAAGTACGTGCTTGGCTATCATATTTGCATGAGAGAATGACTGTCTCTCTCTCAGTGGCACGTTCTGTGGTCTGCAATGGTGCTATTGACTGGGCAAAAGATTTACCTGCAAATAGAGCATGAAAAAAATACACAGAATGTTCAGCCATTGTCTACAGTAAAAAGTTATGAAAAATTGCTTTTTTTTAATCAAGTAATTTATATAAATAGTATTTTTTTTGTAAATGTATTTATATAAGAATTTATATAAGATCTAAAATAATTAAATTAAATTAAATTAAACCTACTCACTCTGTATGGCTAAAATTACAAGCAAGTAAAAAAGAGAAGTCATTTTTGCACTGCTGAAGAACAGATTGAAGTCATATAAGAGATGAATGCCAACCCAATATCTTGAAGCCCCACCCACATTATCTCTGTGTGATTTTGATTGCATAAAATGTCATACTCTCAGAAAAAAAGGGTGCATATTAGATATTAGTGCCTAAGGTATACATATAAAAACTTTTAAAAGGATACTGACCCAGTAAGGACTTTTGTACCTTTTTTTTTTCTTCCGGAGAGTGTACTTGTGAAAATCCATTTTGACTATTAATATGTAGTTTTTCATTTGACAAAAGGTAGAGGCTGGTAGATTTATCATCATCACATTTGGCATCATATCAAAATGGCAACTTTTTGACAACAAACTTGAGTGGGTAAAGCACAAGTGATTACATCACAGATTAGTTAATGCTTTAGTAATTCATGATTTATCAATATTTTTGTATTTATACTCCAATCTCTGAAATGCAGTAATGAGAAGATTAAGAAAAAATGTCATCTTTGTGCAGCATAACATAATAGCAATGCACTAGATGCGCTGACAAAATTAGGACTAGAATGCGTCAAAATGTAGACTGTATACTGGTGAGAACTGTTACTAAACGCTTGTCCTTAAATTCTGGTTATATGTATTTCAGTATTCTGTTTTCTTGAACACAAGGTCAGTTGCTAAGGAGACAATCATAAGACAATTGAAACTCAAAATCTCATGATTAATCATTGGCTCTCAAATGCTGGATCAAAATGCTGAGACATAAACACGCATAATCATCCACTGAGCACAGACACTGAAAACAGATTGCAGCTTCTATTTGAATGTGTCTGATTTTTGTACAGTGCATGTGTGTTTCCTGTCACTGTGGGCTGCAAGGCACAGTAGTACAGAGCAGAATCAGTTAATGCAGTGCCAATGATCTCCAGATCCACACGATTTTTCTCCTCATTTAATCTAGCAGATATTCCAGGAATTGGAGGAGCAGCTGGTTGCTTAAATGCAGCTTCATTAACTAGAAACAGGAAGTCTGGTCTGGATCTCGGGTACTGACGATACCAATGGAGAGCATCTGTAGCAGCTGATCCATTGTAATTGCAGGACAGGGTGATTGTGTTCCGTTCTAAAACAAATTCATTAGGAGAGACTGGTGCTATTCCCTCACTAGAGGCATCACCTAAGAGAAAGAGAGGAAGAATGATGGAAATAATGCATGGAGATGAACAGAATTACAGAAGTAAAGTATGTTATATTGTTTTGTTCTTAAGTTGTGTTTGTTTGATTAATTGCATTTATCTTACCTGTTATTAGGGAGATAAACCACAGACAAAATAGGAATAGCATTACTGACGAGCTGATGAGCAACTATGTTTGAAACCTCTGCATGCCTGAAGGAATTGCCTTGTAGCTCCTCCCCTTATTAGCCATTTGAAGAATTGGTTCAGTTTTAATGATTTTTTTAGGTGAAGAGCTCCCTCTTGTGGATAATTTTAGCCATCGTCTCACAAGTGTCTGTGTCCGTACATTGGCCAGGGGAAACACGTCTCGGTAAAATAGTCAAATAGAATCAAATCCAGTGAGGATAATTGTGAATATTTGAACTTTCCTTTCTTAAGGAACAAGAAAATCAGCTGGCTGTAGTTTGTATTACATTTTACAGTACACACTCAAAACAGGAAAATGTGCCACATTGTGGTTGTTTTATTTTTATTTTGACCAAGTTTATAATGGTGTTGTTTAGCTGACTTTGTTGTTAAATTGTTGTCTTTATTGTTTAGTTTATTTTATATTTTAGTCGTAGAGTTAGGTGCATGTAGGCCTAGATATATCTATATGTAATAACACACCTCTTTGTGTTATTAATAACACACTTCTGCATGATGTGTCTTAATATATATATATATATAATTCTACCTTTCTTTTACTTTTTCTGTCCAAATCTGAAAGAAAACGTGCCAGAACCTACTATTATAGTAATGAAAGAAACTTAGAAAAGCATTTGATTGGCAGATAAAAAATGCAATAAGGTCCCTGAATAAGCAGGATTTTACACCGTATTTAGTTCAACCGCTTGTAAGGTCCACACACTTGGCCCAAGGAAGGTATCCAGTGGTGGATGAAGGTCACTTGCGTGTTCGGTCTTTTCAGCGCGCAGAGTTATTCAATTTAGGTTTAACTCAATCTGACTCCATTTTCTCATGTAATGTTAATGGTACAACCAATTTCAGGGCTAGAAATGTATCTTCATATTTACAGGCAAAGCTTAGTATTACAAGTAGACTACTTTTTATGAACACCGTTTGTTTATTACATATGGAGTATGATTAGAGGTTTTTGTACAGTGTTGTCATGTTTTCTGTCACTGTGGGCTGCAGGGCGCAGTAGTACAGAGCAGAGTCTGTCACTTCAGCAGAGGAGATCTCCAGATCCACTCGCTTATCTTTCATACTCATTTCACCATCCAGTCTAGGAATAGGGGGATCTGCATATACTACAGTTTTCCTGGATGACTCAACGACGAGGAGCAGAAATTCCAGTCCTGATCCCGGATATTGTCGATACCAAAGTAAATTCTGTACACTGACATCATATTTACATGACAGATTAACTGGCTTCCCTTCAGTAACTTGTGTTCTGTCCTGCAGTGGTGTTATTGTCTGTGCAAAGCATCCATCTGCAAAATGTTTAGAACATATTTATAAAAAAGAATGAAAATTGTACAGTATCATAAGCATGAATAAATGCTGTTGAATTATCGCAAAATATTAATATATATATATATATATATATATATACATACATACATACATATATATATATTATAAACTTGCCTTTTACTTACATTGAATTATAGACAGCAGAAGCAGAGTGCACAGGAACATCATGACTGCACTGTAAAAACCAAATGAAGCTCATAATTGAGAAATGAATGTCTTTGTTGAATCTCTCTCAAAGCTCCACCCACAAATTGGCCAGAATGAATGAATAACAGAGAAAGAAAGAGAAAAGAATGCATGATTTTATCTGGGTTTGATTACATGTTGTAAAATCATTTTGAATTTCAAATTTGGAAGTTTATTTGTGTCATATTCAGTTGGAAGTTCTTCTTTCTCTATTTGTTTTTTACAGTAGTGCTCATTTTTTCCCAATTGATTTGTTTTACATTTTTAATTTTTGAAGTGTATTTGTAACTCATTCTCAAGTGTGTTTTGCAAAAAAACAAAAACAAAAAAAAAGTGGATGTATAGCTTTAACGTACATGTCTATTTCAGTTTCAGACAGCTGCAGGTGTTACCACAAACTCATTATGTCCTAATTTGACTGTTACCTATATCAGGTTTGGTGATTCCTCTGCACTTCAGAGGCAGCACTAATACAGACAGAGATGAATATCAGTTTAAACTAGAACAGTGCTAGAAATGAGTTATTCTTGAACATCAAAGCACAGTGACAACCTAAGCTTAGTAAGATGAGAAGCTGCGGCTTAACAACATTTGACTTTGCACAATGAAATTAGCGCAGCAATACACAAATTCAACTGAACTGATTCAGCACAGTGATTATTGAGTATATGCGTGATGTATAAGAGAAGTTGAGAAACATGTATTCACAGTGCTTCACTTGTTAAATACATTTCTCTCTGCTTCATGTTTTCGTACAGCGTAGCTTTGTTTTCTGTCACTGTGGGCCTCAGGGCGCAGTAGTACACAGCAGAGTCTGATACTGCAGCAGAAGAGATCTCCAGATCCACTCGTTTTGTGTTTTTATTCATTCTTGGCGTTAAACGCTGTGGTATGTTGTCACTCATCAGCCCACTTTCATAGATGTAGAGGAGGAACTTTGGTGTAGATCTGGGATATTGACGGTACCAATGGAGATTATCAGGTACTCCACTGTAGTTACATGTGAGTGTTACATTTTTACCTTCTAAAACTTGTTTTTGTGAGTCATGGGACGTTATCATGTTTGTCAAGATGTTACCTGTGAGAATCAAAAATAAATAAATGAAATAAACAAGAAAAAGACATTGAATCAGACAATAAAAGTATTTTCACTGATCACAATCTATTCATTAAATTAAGTCATGAATTCTGAGAAATGAATCAAAACTCACCTATATGAAGAACCAAAATGAGAAAGACAGGAAGGCACATGTTGGTTGATACTCTGGCAGAGGGACAGTGATGGGATTCCACATTAGAAAATAAACCAAGTCAAACTACTGTAAGTCAAAGTAATCTTAGAGCTCCACCTCTTGACACAGTGTTGTACCCAGTGTGAGAAAAAAACCCCCACATTAACACAAGATTTTACCGTTGCAGTTCTTATTTATATATGACAGGAGTTGATGCACAGACACTGTTCTGGGACAATATGGCTTTGACATGACATGGCATGAGAGCAAACCGTTTAGTGACTAAGCACTAAAAATATCCACACTGTATATAATTAAAAGACATGCAATATACTGCAGTATATTTTGTGTAAACAAACAAGAATTAGAGAAGAACAATGTTAAAAAAACTGCACATGCAAAAATTAGTCTTCACCTATAGTTCTAAAGAGCTATGCACTAAAGTCATTGGTGACTAAATTCTGCAGTGAAGATTTACATATTATTTGCATGCATCAGAAATTGTAAAACGTTTGCTGGTCTGTGTGAAATTGACATCACATGATTAAAATCTCCAACCTGATCTCACGGGAAAACCTAGCAATTTTACAAGGCGGCGATTTCGTATGAATTAGATATGATGTGAATCGTATGAAAATGTGTAATATTTAGAAAAATGTAAGCATGAAAGCCCTTCTCTAGCCCCACCTCTACATTTAACCGTCACTGGGGTGTGAACAGATTGTAATTGTTGTAATCTCTGCTTATGTACAGTATATTAATTTAACTGTCAGATTCATTTACCCGTTAACCTTTACTGACCCTTTTCACAAGGAGAGAAATAAACAGTGAAAAAATTGTTTTAAGAACATAATTTTACGCTCTTTAATAATAATACATGGTCTTCTGTAATGATTCTCTACCTCATTTTAATCTAATAAAATAATGGCAATGCACTCACTTTAATTGGCCAGTCATACAGTAGTTTCAACACTAAATAATGAATACTTTAATAATAATAATAATTATTATTATTATAATAATGTCCTGAACAGTATAATTACTGTGTGAATCAGAATAGATGTGAAACATATGTATATTCAAGAGGATGCAGTGTTTCTATGGTTTTAGTATATTTTTCAGTACTTTAATGTGCTTTGTTAAGCCAGATTTAGGTTTTTGTACGGCGCTGCCGGGAGTCTGTTAATTTCGCAGAGGAGATCTCCAGATCCACAGAGGTTTTCTTTTCATTTAATTTCACGGACATTCCAGGCTGCATGGTTTCAGACTCCCCGCTGTTTTGTAGTATCAGAAGAAGGAAATCTGGAGCTGATCTTGGATATTGACGATACCAGTACAAAGAAAGGGCTGGGGAGTAGTTGCAAGACAGTGTTATTTTATCCCCACTCTTCCCATGCACCTCAGTTTGGACAGGAGTGATGACATCTCCACAGCGGCCAGCTGAAAAAGAGAAATTAGTATTTGTAAGTGTAGGTTTGTTATGGTGTTGTATTTTGGTTGACCTCCGTGAACCTGACCTCAGGAGGATTTATTGTACAGGTCTAAGGAAGATGATCTCATTAAGAAAAATCTGAAATATTTGTGGTTACAAGATTAAAGGTATTAAAATTAAACAGAAATTGAGATACTCACCTCCGAATGTAGACAGAAAACCAAGTAAACAGAGCAGCATTGTTCAGGCCGATGTTCTGACTGACAGCTCAGCTTGTAGCTAATCTATTTCAAAACCACATCCTCAGGATGGCTTAGATGGTGTCAGAACACTAAAGCCCCTCCTACTGACCCCAAACATACGTTTTAGGTCTAGAGTTGGGGGTCCAGTTTTCAAAAAAAGCCTCTAAATTATTTACAGAACAAACATATTAACATAAGAAATTTAAGTTGAATATTGTATTTTATTATACAACAGAATTGGACTTAACTCAAAACCCAAATTCATCACAAAACAGAATACATCTCACGTAATGTGACTAAACTCGGTGACAGACTTTGTTTCATACCTGTACCTAATTGTAGTTTTAATCTCTAATGCTAATAAAAATTTTTTTAACAGTTTTAATGGTTTGGATTTATGTTATATAAATATATATATACATTGTCTGAGTAATTACATATATATTTGGGTCAATAATCCAGATATTATAGAGCAATATCTGTATATGTACATGTTCTGCATTTCAACACTTCTGTATTCACAGTACAAATGCTGCTTTATTAAATCTATGAATCTCTTGGTTTTGGCTACTGTATCAGTTGCAGGTGTTCCCACATACAGTAATGGTTTTGGCAGATAATACATTTTGGTTTGGCTAATACTTTGATGATTTTGAGTTCAAAGTATGTGTGTTTTTGTAAAGCTTCTCAGAAACTTTGTATCACTGGGTCTTTCGAAAGAGCACAGTAATAGAGAGCTGAATCTTTCAGAGTAGCTGCTTTAATAATCAGTTCAGTGGATGTTCTGGTTGTAGAAGATTCAAAATGAGGATCTGGTATATCACTCTCATCATTTCTTGATCGTGCACTTTTCCACAGTATATACTGTAGCTCACTGTTAGGATACTGTCTGTACCAATAAAGATCAACATATTCACTGCTTGTTTCATACGAGCAACTCAATGTCACACGGTCGGTTTCATCTCGAATAATAACAGCTTGATCTGGTTCAATGCGATCACCAAGAGCAACTGGAAAGAAAGTAATGTGACAACTTAAACTTATAAATATAAATTCCATTTTTAAGTTTTGAAATTATACATTCATATTAAAAATTCGTATAAATTTTACATTAAATACCTGATGCAGCTATGAGAATTAGTACCACTGATCTCTTCATCCTGAATTTACTGATCAGATGTGTGTCAAAACTCTAGGTGCTCCCTGCTGGTATAATGTGAAAATGCAGCCTCATTCTCATGATCATGATCCTCTCCTGAATTTCAACCTGAAAAAATATCAGCCTTAGGACTAAGGTGAAAACTTAGAAAGAAGATAGTTAAAACATATTCATGACAGAAATCAAGAAATTATGTGCACAATGACAATATATTTTTCAGTTCTCTGATCAACTTGGTCATAGTGGTTGGTCCTAATGAATTGGTTTGCTTTTAATTGCAATTTAACAGGAGTTGATTAATTTGCTCATGTCTGAAATAGACATCAAATTAATCTTACACTTTTTTGTGCATATCAAAAATATATAATTACTATTATTATTACTATTATTATTTGTGTGGTTCTTTTTTTCTCTTTTCTTTCATTTACTGTTTAGTTATTACTGTATATATAAAAACATGTTTGTGCAGATCTTTAAATGAATAAATAGCACCACAAATAATATTTTGGTGGCCTTCCACCAAAATGGTGAACGGAAATAAATATGCATGCAAAAATAACAGACAAAAGAAAACCTGTATACTTATATTCCCAGTCTTTTATAAAAATAAAAAAAAACACTTGAGTAATTAATAGTGCTATATTACATTTTCACTGCTTGATATGATATATAAATATTTCACAAGTAATCCAGCCAGTGTACTGACCCTAAAGGACCACTAGATGGCAGATTAATTCTAGTAAAGTCAAAAAGATAGATCATGATATTTTCTTTTTTTATATGACATCTTTTTCTACTGTATACTTATTAGGGCTCTTACACTGTTTAGGTGTTACAGTATCTTAACTTGTTGAAGGAGGATTAAATGGTAGGAGTCCAGGAGAACATGTTTTTTTATAGGCAAGTTTTTATACAGTGTGTAAAGGTTTCCTGTCACTGTGGGCTCCAGAGCACAGTAGTACAGAGCAGAATCTGTCACTTTGACAAAGGAGATGATCAGATCCACACGGTTTTTCTTTTCATTCAGTCTTGCTGAAAACCGAGAATCCAGATTCTCTGCACTCTGGACCCGTCCAGAGATTTGCAAAATGAATAAAAGATATTCAGGAGCTGATCTGGGATATTGGCGGTACCAATGCAAACTAATTGCAGTTGAGTAGCTACAGGACAAAGTTATATTGGCACCCTCCTCATCAAAGACCTCAGTTTGGTCTGATGTAATGGGACTCTCAAACCTTCCACCTGAAAATTATAATAAAGTTAATTAGATATTGTAATGATAGACTCTGAACTATAACACATTTTGTTTTAATTAAGCCATTTAGGAAGTCATTTAGGAAGTCATTTAGGAAGTTTACAGTGTAATTATATTCAAATATGGTATATTATTAAGACACCATAATAAAAATAAAAAATATACTTGACTTTTATGTAATATTAAGTTATACTCACTCCCAACAGCACAGAGCAGGATAATTGTGATGAGCAGCATCATGCTGAAATAGTGTGTCTATGATGGCACTTGCGATCTTTACAGCTGCTTGAAGCTCCTCCTCCTAGCTCAGAGTGAATATACTGAGCATGATAAACCCCATGAGATCTCAATCTGTCAGCTTTTTGTACAGTAACATTTCATTTCCTGTCACCGTGGTCTGCAGAGCGCAGAAATACAGTGCCGAGTCTTTAACTCTGGAAGAGGGGATTTCCAAATCCATGTGATTTTTGTCCATGTTCAATTTTCCTGACAGGCGCTCATCTGAAGTCAGTATTACTTTTCCAGAGCTTTGTAGGATGAGCATGAGGAACTGAAGAGCTGATGTATGATGCTGTCGATACCAAAGGAGACTCTATGCCAAGGAATAACTACAAGATAGTGTTACGTTCTCGGTCTCACATACATGCACTTCTGTGTATTCTGGACTAATGGCTTCTGCATGAGTTACATCTTAAAAATGAAAAATAAGAGAAAAATATATTGAAGTGTATAATGAGATATAAAGAAAACGGTTTTCAGTAATACAGTCACAAACAATTGTTAAAGAAAAATATACCCACCTGCAAGGGTTAACATCCAAATAACTAGCAACATTGTGAGACTAGGCAGAGCAAAATAACATAACATGACAAGTGACAAACTGAAGTCTCCTCTGGAAGCTCCGCCTCTTTCCTCAGTATGGAATTTGTACAGTAATGTAGCTGGCCAATCACATATTGCTTTACATAGTATATTTGTATTCATCATTTGCCAGGTGTAACCGCATCTCCTGCTGCTAAGAATATTATTTACTGTAGGGAAGGAAGTATTTTGTGGTTTGAAAGACCACAGTTTTGAACATGAGTTTCTGTACAGCCTAATTAATACATTTTGTCATAGTGTTCTTCTAGCACACAGTAGTAGGAAGCAGCGTCCTCCAGTTTTAAATTGTTAATTAACAGAAAAGTGGATGTCTTTGAAGTTGTGGAATCATAGCGAGGATCTATGCTTTGAAACCGTGTCTCTGATTGTGCACCTTTGAGTAACAAAAACTCAAGTGCCTGTCCTGTGATCAGTCTACCCCAGAAGAGCAAATCATGAGAGCTGCTTGATTCATATACAAGCATGTGAGAGTCGCAGATTCTCCCTCTTTACTGATGACAATTTTTCTCTTCGGTGCAGTATGAGCACAGAATATTTAAGCAAAGAAATGCTAAACTGTTTGGTTGATGCTAAAGTAATAGTGTGTTTGCACCTGCCAGAAATGTGAGACAGATGAGAATTGATTTGGTCATCTTCAATTTGTACAGTAATTATACCCAGAACTTTTTGCACAGCTCCTTATAAATGCAAAGGGCATTACAGTTAGTGTCTGATTAGCTCATCCCGTCATGAAGTATCACATCACAATGCAGTACTGATGCAGTACTATTATCCAAACACAGAACCAACAGGTGGCGACAAGTGACTGGACTTTCTTTGAGTGAGTCATTAAATGATTCATTCAGTTGATTAGTTTAAAATTCTGATTCATTCAGGAATGAAATATGCCTTTTATTGAATCATTCATTCTTTAGATTCATTCATTCAAAAGCTTGGATTTATTCGGGAATGAAACAAGCAAATGTTTTTATGAGTGAGTCTGTTTTTATGACTGAATCATTCACTCAATTGAATTGTTCAAAAACACAAACACCCCTAACTGTGTGTTGCTGCGAGACGCAGTTGGAACTATTTGAGTTGGCAGAGCAAAAGATAAAAAACAACTGGCAATATTGTGTCTAAAATGTAAGTTACTTAATATTAATGTCCTGTTAATAATCCATACTAAAGAGCTGTGCTGATAATATATAAAACTTGCTAATTATTTAATCACTAAAATGACCCCGTTTACATCAGCTCTCGTTTACTGTAGGCTACATGCAGCTGTTTATTTATTTGCTGCAGGTGTTACCATATCCTTCAGTTTGACTCTGTGGTTTATGAAGACACAAATGTGGTTTGATATTCATTTGATAACTCGCTGTTCAAAGCAAGTTTTCTGAGTGAGTTTTTGTAAAGCCTCTTGGGCACTTTGTAACACTGGGCTGCTACTCTTAGAGCACAGTAATAGAGAGCTGAATCTGACAGAGTTACACTTTTAATGGTCAGTGAAGTGGATTTCTGGGATGTAGTTGATCCAAATCGATGGGGGTCTGGTATGTTCTCATATTTCTCTGATCGTCCACCTTTAAGCAGCACAAATTCTGGCTGTGTGTTAGAAAACTGTCTGTACCAATAAAGGAAAACATAGCTGCTGCTTGTGTCATATGAACACTCCAGTGTTACAGAATCTCCTTCTGTACTGGAAACACTGGTCCTCTGGTCACTTGGTCGAATCCAATCTTGACAGATAACACCTGGAAGGAAATGTTTTTAATAAGATACAGTTCACTATTAAGATGTGTATATATATTTAAAGATCTGAATAATCATGCAAATATATTAGACTTGTGGCTTGTACCTGATGCTATAAGGAAAAACAGCAGTAGATATTTTCCGATTTGTTGACTGAGCATTTGGAGTCTTTCCATGATCACATCAGATAAGTCTTAATGTGCTAAGTTTCTTGAAAGGTTGATCTTTAAATATCAGGGGGTGGATACAAAAACAGGAAGTACAATTGCTCTTGACTGCTTGTCACACAACATCTGCATTGCTCTGAGACTTGTAGGTTCCAAAAAGAGGAACATTTTCAAGGGTTAACCGTTTCTAAGACTTCCAGCAGGTGGCGATCTAATATCATAAAAGCAACGTACTTCAGCTGAGCATAATTTTATACATTTTTACTTTTGTACATGAAATCCATACCTCTTGTCAGGGTACTGTATGAAACTATTTCTAAAACATTCAGTAGTTTTTTAGATATATGATTCAGTTTTTTTTCTATGATTCAGAAAAAATTATATTAATTATTTATTGACTGATTAAAAAATATGCATTTAAAATATTTTAATTTTAATTAATTAATTAATTAATATTTATATTTTTTTTATTATTTTTTTTTACAAATATTTTATGAAGATGTGCAATGTAGGGTACATTCAACTACAGTATCACTGTTGGGAGGGTTTTTGTACAGTGTTGTTGTGTTTCCTGTCACTGTGGGCGTCAGGGCACAGTAATACAGAGCAGCATCTGTCAGTTTAGCAGAGGAGATCTCCAGAATCACATGGGTTTTCTCTTCATTCACTTTCCCAGAGAATCGAGGATCTTGATCCACAATTTCTGACATTTGTGAAACCTTTCCGGTAGAGTGTAGAATAAGCATAAGAAATTCAGGAGCTGATCCAGGATATTGGCGATACCACTGCAGTGTAGACGCTGAGGAGTAGCTACAGGACAGAGTAACATTTTCTCCCTCTTTCTTATAAACCTCAGTCTTGACTGGTGTGATGACATTTGCAAAACTGCCACCTTCAAAATTGAAAGTCAAAATTTATGGAAATGTATTGTACATAAAAGTGAACTAACACAAACTCCATACTAATAATCTCAACTAGACAAAATAATAGAAAATAATAAATAACAAATAATATATAATATATAACAAAATAATAAATAAATGGAATACTTACATATAAGAGAACAAATCAAACCAGTTAAACAGAGCAACATGTTGATGGTGATTAGGATGATGTTCTAGCTAAGCACAAGCTGTTGTTCAACTAAACTTTCTGTTCTTTCCTTGTCACACAAAAGATGTGTCAAGCAAACCCCTCCCCTAAAATCTGTAATTGAAACAGCAATGAAAACATAGAATAAGCAACAGTATACAGGTGCATCTCAATAAATTAGAATGTCATGGAAAAGTTCATTTATTTCAGTAATTCAACTCAAATTGTGAAACTCGTGTATTAAATAAATTCAGTGCACACAGTCAACATGAACAGACAGGTCAGAAGAATTGTTGTAGAGCTGATCAAGAAAACTGGAGGTAAAGCTTATGACACTCCATAAGAGACTCTTTAATATACTTATCAAGGACTGTGAGGACAATTCTCCTCCTCACTTTTTGTCGGGAAAACAGTTGCATTAAATACTTCCAATACAAACAACTATTTGGTCCACAGGACTGATGTACTTTGGCAAAAATTACATTTAAAACCTTTTTGTAGCTTATGATATGAAAGAAGCTTCTGAATGTTATGGCTTGCAAATCCAGTTGTCAAATGCAAATGCAATTGTTTGATACTGTTTTGACAGTGATGTAATGTGTGATCTATCTTAGTTTTTGTACAATGTTGTGTTTCCTGTCACTGTGGGCTGCAGAGCACAGTAGTACAGAGCAGAGTCTGATACAGCAGCAGAGGAGATTATCAGATCCACATGGGTTTTCTTGTCATTCAGTTTGCCAGAGAATCGAGGATCTTGATCCACAATTTCTGACCTTTGTGAAACTTGCCCAGTAGAATATAGAACGACTAAAAGATATTGAGGAGCTTGCCCAGGATATTGGCGATACCACTGTAGAGTATATGCAGATGAATAGTTACAAGACAGAGTTATATTTGCGCCTTCTGAATAGAACATCTCATTTTGGACTGGAGTGATGTCAATCGCAAAAGTGCCAGCTGCAAGAATCAAAATTCATGCAAAATAATGTAAAATGTATTGAAACATCATAAAACTTTAGTTGTTAGTTAAAAAAAATAATAATAACAATAATTCGGTATATTCAATCAGGAATACACACACACAAGACAACAAAGCAAAACTTGCAAGCAGAGCATCATTTTGCACGATGCTGTATTCAGCACAAACTGTTGTTCAACAAATCATTCATTCCTTGTCAGGTACAGGAGGTGGTCTCAGATTTACTCCTCCCCCTTCATATCTGCAAACTATAATAGATGAAATAGCATTTGAAGCCTAGATAAGACAGATATGAACACGCAGGTCAGGAGTTCTACTCCACTAATAGCCTGTCATGGAAACGTTTGATGTTCTGTATTTTGGTCTCTAGTCAGTGTAGACCTATGTGCTGACCTAAAAAAAGGTCAGCACATAGGTCTTTTTTTTTTTAGGTCTATTTTTTTTTCCCATGGTAAACTAGTTTTTTTAGAGGTTCTTTAATAGTAAGATTTATTATAGCATGACAAAAACAATGAATTATCATCTTCCTGTATAGTTTCACCCTAAGCACACATTTCCTTTTCTTCCAGCAGGTGTTACAATATCGTATTGTGAAAGAAGTGCATGTTGTGGTTTTACACAAGATATGATTGTGGTAAATTTTTTATTTGATTCATTTTTTTAAGGCAAAAACTAGATGTGAGTTTTTGTAAAGCTTCTCAGGCATTTTATATCACTGGGCTTCTACTCTTAGAGCACAATAATAGAGAGCTGAATCTGACAGAGTTACACTCTTAATAGTGAGTTCAGTGGATGTTTGGGATGTAATCGACTGAAACCGATCTGGTATATCCTCATAACTGCTCCATGATCGGGCACCTTTATACAGTAAATATTCTGGTTCTCTGTTAGGATACTGTCTGTACCAGTAAAGATAGACATAACTGCTGCTGGTATCATATGAACAGCTCAGCGTTACACGCTCTTCTTCTGTTCTGTAAATAGTAGTTTCCTTGTCTTTTGGTTGAATGCTGCTGTCAGATAAAATACCTGCAAGAGAATTGGAGAGATTTCATAACAGGTCAGTTGGATTGTCCGAAAATTCATCACATTTAAAATTAAACTGACAATAATAAAAACAGTTTCTTCAAAAATTATGTCATGTCGTTACTGTAATAGAGTAACATTACAAAAAGTTTTCATGGCCAAAACATTTGTTCATTACATTTGAGTCTGCTCAGATTACATGTTTTATACCTGGTGTGAATATTAGAATCAGTAGAAAGCATCTCTCCATGTTGGGAAGGTTTACTAACTTGCTTTATGGAATGAAGTAAAGGTAATTGTATGATTGTAGTATCTTGTTGTGATGTTGCAGTGTGGGTGTGGTTTATGTAGACCTCCTTCTGTGTCTTTCCTTATTAAAAGCTGAAATTATTGTGCCTTCATTGTACTAATATCTTAAAAATAATTATTAAAACCAAAATTACTTGTTGAGTAACAGTTGAGGAAGTATTTTCATCCACTAATTCAGTTTGATCAGTTTTATGAATATATATTACTATTAAATCATTCAAAGGTAAACAAAATAGAGGCTATTTATTGGAGTTAGAATATTCAGTATTTGATAGTGAAGTTTGTGCTTGTAGCATTATATTTGTAGTCTTGTGTAAGGCTGCACAGTGATCTGTATTTTAATCGTGATCATGATTTCTGCTCCTTCTGATGTTTAAGCATAATCGTCTGTGATGTTTCTCCACTGGTTATTTATCATTTGCTTTATCTTGCATTGGTAACAAGCCTCCACTGTCTTTCAGTCGGGCATCCTCTCTGAAATGGACACAGCACCCCCCAGTGGTGGTATAGAATGTATTCCCCACTGACAACATCCAAAATTCTAATTAGGATAAAACATTTGTGAATCTAAAAAATATGATGGCTTATAAATTTTGACTTTATTTACTGCTATATTTTTCAAAAATGATGACACCTTTAGAAATATAAATTTGATATGCCATCAGTGTTTATTTAAATTGTCTCATTCAATACTTAGAATTCACTAAATCAATGTACATAAAGGTACAGAAATACTAACCAGACAGAAAATGTATACTTAAATATGAATTTAAAACATCAGAATCTAACTGACATATTAATTTGTATGGATCCTGTTGTTTTTGGCAACATCTCATTTTAAGAGTCAGTCAGGTTTTTGTATGGTGTGTAGTGTTTTCCTGTCACAGTGGGCGTCAGAGCACAGTAGTACAGAGCAGATTCATTCATTGTCTAGCAGAGCATGTCTCCTGCAAGCACCTCCCCTTAAAGGGGTCATATGATGCGATTTCAATTTTTCCTTTCTCTTTGGAGTGTTACAAGCTCTTGGTGCATAAAGAAGATCTGTAAAGTTGCAAAGACTAACTAATGAAATCCAAAGAGATATTCTTTATAAAAGTTACGAGTAAACCACGCCTACGGCTCGTTCTAACACGCCCCCACATACCTACGTCACAATGTGGGAAGATTTGCATAACACCGCCCAAATGTGCACGCAAAGAAAGAAGGCGTAACTTTTATTCT